ATATGTGTACGTGTGTATGTGTATGTGATATACTATGTGTGTGTGAAGATGGAATGAGAAGCACTTTTCTCGTCATTTTTTCATATAAACATGAAAAACAACACAAAAGAGTATGAGAGGATATGTATATGTCCATTTACGTACATCTAAGCATCAAACATTCAATAGAAAATATTTTGTTTTCATCTACAAAATAATGAAGCCAAACTAAATGATTTCGGGCTGCTTCACGAAGGCATTTGGCGCTCTGTCGCGCTCTCACCAAGGCATCATGTAACTTGGCTTAATTAAAATCAAAATTTTGAAATAAAATATTGCTATTTCTATTGAATATTGCAATTGAATTACGAGAAATCAAAAAATGGAAGAAATGAAGAGAAAGAAAGAGAGGGAATGAGGGAGAGAGGGAAAGAGAGAGAAACATGAATTGAAATCTCCAGAAGAAGTAAAAAATTCTCTCGAAATTCGTTAAACTTCACTTTTCTGTAGCTTTTTTGTGTTTCTCTCACTTATACTCTCGACTCTCTCAATTGCTCTCCCTCTAAGTTTTACCACCCACAACCGCTTGCCTTCTTCCCTTGCTATCTCTCTCTCTCTGCCTTATTTATCTCTTCAAATGAAAAGAAATGAAAAGAGATCTCCAAAAGAACAAAACCTCCTGTTTTTGACTAACCAAATTTGGTCTTCTCTCTTTGAGTGGATTTGTCATATTCGTCTTATATCATATGGACATTTGAACTGCTTCTCTCTCTTCGGTCAGTGTCATTTCAATTGAAATAATTTGACAGAGAGAGAAAAAAAAACATTCAAAAAGATGTAAGCCATAAGTCATCAACAGATGAAAGAAAATGATAGTTTAGGATGAAAGGCAGCAGGTTAGTTCCTTGAACATCTCTGCTTCTCATTCATTCATAATTCTTCCACATTTCTATTTCATCACAATACCTCATGTCAACTCTTTTCCTCAACCTCTCTGACTTTCTAACTCTCTCTCTCTCTCTACATCTCATTGGGTACCTTCCTTTACCTCCTTTCCTCTATATCTATCATTCATTCACTTGCTTAACGGATGGTTTTGAAATTTTATGTCTAAGACGTTAAAGAAAATTTCATGAAAAGGAGTAAGAAAGTTTCTTGACGTGTCACAATTATTCGAATATGCTTCAATAGCCCTGCGGCAAAATTATTTTGAAAGAATCTTGCTTCTACCCCTAGATAAGGTTAAGACTTGAAGAAGAATATCAGAAAAGCAAAAAAACTTGCCGACAAAAGAATAAAATAAAGATTTTGTGCAAAAGATGTTACAAAAGTACAAGAATGGGTATGCTGGCTGAGTAAATGGGATGCAGCAAGGTGAGAGATAAAGAGCTCAAACGAAACATACAATGAGGAGTGAGAAGTAAAACAAGAAAAGAGAATGCAGTTAGGGTGGGGAATAGAAGACAAGTCGTAAGAGAGTAGAATCTTCCAAAATATAATAAAAGGTTTTGGAACGGGGAGTTTGCTTTAGGATAGAGAGCAGTAGCCGAAGCAGAAAAATGAAATTTCATAAAGAGACCAATAGTTTTTTATTTTGTTTTTTCAACAAAAAAAAGAAAAAAAAAGGAAAAATTTCTTGAATAAATATGAGAAGCTCTGCTAGTACTTGCTGTATATGGTGCAGAGAACACAAAAAAAATCTTTTTGGAATAGCTTCTCCTTCTCTTTCTCTCTCTCTCTTACTTTCTCTTGATCTGTTCCTTTCTGTTCCTCTCTCTTTCTTTCTATTTCTTCTCTCCCTCTTTCTTATTCCAATTTAATAAGTTTTTGATGTCAAATGAAGGCAAACGCCAATGTGTCAGCAAAACTCATCGGAAGTACATACAATCCTTTTGTCCTTTACATGGACAGCAGAAAAAAATAGTTTTGCGAACTTCTAATTGACGTTTAAAAGTATTATTTTCGATATACAGAAATGGAAACGAAAGGTATGCAGCAAAAACAGCAATAGGAAAGTCTAGAGATATGGATAGAGAGAGAGAGAAGAAGAGTGACAGGTGGAGGGAGAGAGAAAACAATTTAAGATTTCAAAGAGAATTTTTGGAGAGAAAAAAAAAAGATCACCAAGAGCATAAGCACTGAGCTTTTGAATAGACAACGACATACACAACCGTTCAATAGCCTAACAAGCTTTGAAAATGAATAAATTTATAAGAAACGAAGAGAAAGAGAGAGAGGGGGAGCAAAAAAAAGAGAAGTTTCCACGTATTTCACGTAACATCAACGTGAAGGTGTTGTGTTGCGAAAGTGTAAGCAGAGGAAGTATGAGCTAAAGGCTATTTCATTTGAAATACTAAATTATTTATAATAAAATGAATAAACAAAAAAGATTTTGTTTCAGTACTCTTCCTTCCAAAAGGTGGATGAGAGATTCATTGAGAAAGTTCATCTCACATTTGCGCTTTTCCCTCCCCATTGAAATGTGAAGAGATGAAGATGAAGTGAGAAGACTTGAAAAATAAAAAAAAAGATGAAAATGAATTTGTTTCAAAGCTTTACAAGATGTTTATTATGATAATTATAATTATAATAATTACAATATAAAGTATAATAGTCTACTTATCAGGTATATCTTCTAGGGCAATGTTGTCAAATGACATAATCCCACGTGGACGAGTATAACGAACGTAGACTGCCAGGATGGCAATGAATGTTACAACAACAAAGAATAATGGAATTAGAACGAATGAAAATGAATTTTCACGACGATATATAAGAACTCTACTGATGCTTGATGATTGCCCATAGTTTAGATATACAGTGCGATCATTCAAGAGTGGTGGCTCATCAACCAAATATGAGATTGGAACAGGGACACGACTTCCGGATGTGTACATAACAAATCTATACAATTGAGAGTATGAAATAACAACTGGCTGAATAATTAATGTCCAGATTACACCCTTAGAACATGGGGGATGGGCGAATGATCCTATAATGTTTGTTAATTGAAAATAAATATTTATTTTATAATATTACCGTTATAGCGATAGAAGCCTGAAGTATCTTTGGGTAGAAGTACTGTTGGAGCAACAAAGTCGTATGGCGTTTCCAAACCTTCTTCTATAATGAAAGGACGTATAGGTCAGTACTTCATAGGTTAAAGATTACTGCTGAAAAGTGGCTGATCTAGTGTGCTCATCTCTTCTTTCTTCCTTGGACGACTGGTTGAATTGACAGTCAACTCGAAGAAAACTCCAATCTGCAAAAACACTTGGCCTATACTTTTGTGCTATTCTGAAGAACATACAATGGCAACATGTCCAGGAATATTGCGAGCTTCATCCAATCGGTATCCCTCTCGCACATGAACGAAATGAGCCTGATGAATAACGATATAAGCTGATTGTTCTGTGTTATACTGACTTACCTCCATGAAATGATAAGCCCCGTTTATGGTATGACCAGATTTGATTGGTGAATGACTGCTCCATTCACTTATTGCCCAATGAATCTCTTCCAAATAGTAATTGTACGGGAGTCCACCACCCGAAATCATTGGAGGATTCTGCCATAGACGGAATCCGAAAACGGCTTCTTTAAAAGAAAAATATTTTTCTCATTTTTTAGCCTTTCTCCTCTCTCCCTCTCCCTCCATAGAAAGTATAAAGTATGCCCACCTGTGAAGTTCTCGAACTTTCGTTGACGAACAAGTCCTGTCGTATTATAATTTGTAAATTTGAGAGGAGAATATTGGACAGGGATTGTTTTAACTGAAAAGATCGGCGAACACGAATGAAACGAGAATGATGTGATTCAATCTTACCGACGTCAATATTTACGGGCGATCGTTCGTTACCGCTGAAGCAATCAGGGTGGGCAGTTCTAATATCAGTTTTCCAATCAGAAAACTCTTTAACAGCATGCATAAATATTTGATCTTAAAACAAAAACATGATGAGTATACTATTTATGTGAATCATATGACTATGAAGCCTGATGCACTACTACTAACCGTTTCCTTTTGTAGTTGACGCTGGTGTTGTCGTGGACTCTTGCGAAACAGATTGAGCAACGGTTTGAGCAAAAACATTATGATGTGCTGTGAAAATTATAAAAAGAATATAAATATAGATGGAAGGGCTGCTCGTCATCAAGATCAGGTAGCTAATGATATGTAATTTCAGTGGGTTCTTATAATATTTTGATGACCTAACTATATGACCTCATAGCCATTGGCGTATTAGAAATGAAACAATCTTATGGAAACCATATCCTATGGTTATATGTTAATTGACATGATCGTCATTCTGATGAGATTATAGCAAATGTTTTTATGAACCAAAGACATGAGATAGTCTTTGATTGTCGTATGTTTAAGCTTCTCCTTTGAAGACAACCGCTTACTACGTCATTTGAGATAGAAATAACAATACCACGTCTCACGTCGTCTACCATCATATTATGCAAATTAATCAAGGAATCTGATGTGAAGCACAAAAAAGGAATACATAATGAAAGGCTTTACTGGCTTTATAGTAAGTACAAAGTGAAATAAAACAAAAAAAACTCCACATAATAATAATAATTTTTAGTTTTCTGATTTACATATTTTTGTTGAAAAAATAGAAAAAAAGAGAGGAAAAAAAAGTTTTTTGGAAACACAGAAAGGGGGAAGAATTGAAAGAATGTTGTTGAGACACATTGAGAAAGAGAGAGAGAGAGAGAGAGGGAATGAGATCAATCAAGGGAATGTAAAAGAGAGAGAGAAAGAGATCTTCAGAAAGAATGAGTAAGGGTGGAGAAATGAAGATGGTAAATGGAAATGGTTTTTCATTTCCCATATATGAATCAAAAGCACACAAGTTAACCCATCATCGGACATGATGAGATGTTTACATACAGCTGAAACCTATGAAAAATTAATTTTTACACGTGTTTATGTAATTAGAAGCCAACTACAATCAATCTATTTTCAAATGAGAACTATACATTAATTACTATAATTATATCATTAATTATTAAGATATTGCTCCTTTATGTGTTAGGAATTCCATTAATGTCTCAATTTCCAAATTAATATTGGCAGTTGCTCTTCGAATTCTTTGAGCTATTTCATCTGTTTCACAATCATCAAATGATCGTCCACAGAAGGAAGCTACCATAGCTTGAGCTTGAGCATCTTCACTGAAATGACATGGCAATGGTTATTTCGTATATGGTATAGCAGAATGACAACAATTAGGCAATATATCGAAGGATGCAATCTCATAAAACAATATCCTAAAAAGGTAATGAATTCTTTTCTAGTTTTTGACGTTCATGAGATTGAGACCAACACATGCAAGCGCTCAGAAGCAAGCTAGGAAAGGAAAGAAAGGCTATTCAAATATATTTTGTTAAAGAAAAGGGTGCGTTTAGGAATAGCAGAAGCGAAAATACCTGGCTACTGACACATGACTTCCGGTTTTTTTGCTTTCCGTTGATCCTCGAAGTAGTTTATCGCGTAATTCCAACAGATCTATGAAGGAACGTCGTTTAGATGGAGTTGAACGGATCTTGTGCGGAGTTGCTGTTAAGTCGAGCTGAAACAAGAACAACCATAACAATAGTTCGTGAACAGAGTGGTTTACCTGCTTTAGAGCATCGTTCAAATCGCCACACTTCAGACGAAGCTCAGAGAAGTGAAGAATAGTATTTTTGACAATTTCATGAATTTCTGCTACCCAGAATTTCATGGAGAGGCCGAGTGCTCGTCGACATTCATTTATGAAAGACTGTGACTGTGCTACCGCCTGAAGTTGATGAATATAGTCAATCGAAAAGGTAATTCCCAAATACCTTGTCTAAGTGATGATTATTCCATAACTGAAGGTAATCTCCTTTGTGATCAACGTTCGGAGACCAATCCATGATGGCACACCAATCTTTCATGAGTAAAGGTTCAACCTGTAAAATATAAGATTAAACTGAAACCACGTCTTCGAACAAACCTTTATTCCAGCTTGGAGCATACAAAGTATTCCTTGCTTCGTATACAAATCACCTCGATTCAAGTGTGGATAAAGGAACTTGATTGTCATCTTCACATCAACTTTCTTGATTTCTTTTCGTATCTATAAGAGAAATTGATCTTTAACTGAACTGTATAAAGCTGAAACTCACTTTGCTTAATAACAATCCCAATAGCTTTGCACATGATTTATTACTCTTACATTCATCAACAACTTCACATTTCGGCTCACAATCCTGATGGAAACAAGGAGATTTTGAGACGAAGATTGTGATTTCGTACAAATCTATCTGAAATGGATAGAAGTTGAATATTTTCTATAGAAATATATAAATAGTAACATACACTATATTTGGAAATTAAATCGAATAAAGCGACTAATAACTGCTCTTCCACATGTGGCTCAGCTTTTGAGTCATGGAAGAAATCTCCTCGATAAATATAATCTTCGCCTTAAAAATGAAGAATGAAAGTAATAAAAGACATAAAATTCATGTATTTACCTATTAAAGTGACAATTAAACCGCTGCTTTCATGTTTATGTTCCAAAAAACATTGTTGAACATGCTTAGGAATCGCAAATTTTGCAGCTCCGTTTGTACAATCACCACAGCAACGACATCTGGAAGAAGGTTGATGTGAAATAATGATGGGAGAAGTAATTGAGAGACAAGGAAAAAAGAAATGCAAAATTACAGAAGAAAATAATTGGTTTTCTGAGATTTAAGGTGAGAGGGAGAGCAGAAATAAAAAATTCATTTTCTTGTTGTCTATGAGAGTTGCATAGATGCCACAGTGAGATGGCGACAAGGCGCACACACACATCGAAAATGAAGTTGGTGAAGTGAATGAAAAAGTTGAAAGGGACTTAACACTTTCGAGACCATCAAAAACAGACAGAGCTGTCAGATCAAAAAGACTCTCTTATACAAGGAAATGAAAAAAAAATTAAAAAAAGAGAAAAACGTACTTGCTGGAACAAAACTCATAAACAGATCGACATGGGCATTCTTTCTTGACACACATCTTCTTGTTCTTCGCACATTGACATCCCTGCTCCGGTTTGGGAACTTTTATTATTTTTTTTGGAGGTTCCTATAAATCATCCAAGAATTTATAATGAAAACGGAGAATTTGTTTATGTTAATTGGCTGAATGCTCTTCTAATTGCTTATTAATAATTAAATAAATGTCCAGATTGTTATTATATTGAATGACATGTAATTACCTTCGATTACTCATCTTTCTCCCTCTCTCCCTCTCTCTCCTTCTCCCACCACTAACTCACTCTATTTCACTTTTTTTTTCAAAAAAAAACTTTTTGTATTTATAGAAATTGAGTAATATATTACCTTATTTTTACATATTTGTTTACAAGCACATAATTTACTACATCCTTCTTTCATCTTGAGGCAATCACATCGTTCATTCTTCATACAAGCATTCTTGGCTGGCTTGGCTGGATCAACTTCACAGGAACATTTGCATATTGCTTGATTCAAACAATCTCCACGATATCTATAATATTATAACTTCGAACTATTTGCCTACTTCACATTGAATCAAGAAAAACATTTGTATATACTCTTATGCTTCCCCGTATTCCAGTCATTTGAACGCCCCGCTAGTGAACGGAACGGTTGCTCTCGAATACACTCTCTTCCGATTTTCTAACTACTGCAACTTCATGATGTTTTAGAGGAACTTTCGTTTTATTTTGTTCCATCCTTAATACTTCCGAACATCCATCCATCAAGCTTATTTATTTTTAAAAATGTAAATATAGAATGAGGTTTTAAAGTCGATTCAGTAATGATGATGGCTATACAGATGATGATCTAAGATTCATATATCTTAAGCTTCATTCGTATGCTTTACCCTTATTAAGCAACCAAAATCATATAAGAAATGGGTTGGAGCTCCTGGACAACCATGTGGCTCCTGTTGCTTCCTTATTTGACTCTATATCTCTCTTTTGGCCATTTACCCTTTCATGTGCTTCTCTTCTTTCCTTATATCTCATTCTCGTCTTCCTTTATACTTATGGTTTCAAGTGTCTGTCTAACGTGAATGAAAATATTGATTAAAGATAGAAGAAGCCGGCTTTTCATGCGGCTTCATATATCCCATATGAGAATACAAGGACCTCCTAATAAGAGCTTTCTGTCATCTATTGACCAGTTAGCACAGGTCTTTCTTCTTCGTTCTCTTGTTCGCCACTCTACTAGTCAATTCATTCTCGTATTTCTTTTTTTCTCTCGAATGAACTGTGTAGCTGAACATCTAATTGTATGAGAGCGAGAAAGGCTTTTCAATGAAGGCATACTTTCCCTTTTACTTATTACTCTTGAAGCTTCAACGCCATTCGTCAACTACCAGTTAGCTACATGTGCGCAAAAGGAGAGAAGAAACGAGAGGAGGGCTGGTAGCACAGCAAGGAAGGGGTGGATCTCTCTATCTTTCTCCTTCTCTCTATCTCTCTCTTTATTCTCCCTCTATACTTTTCATTGTATTATAGTGTTGGGGCCAGCTGCCAAATGCCTAATTAATGTGTCAATTCAGCAACCTTTACAGCTTAAGCAGCTAGATTAGTCCAACCACAATTCCATTAATATGTGAGCACTTTATGATCGGCCAACTGACAGCTTAATTAGCAATGATTTGTAATTAGCAGAACAAAAGTGAGAAATGAGAACTTCTCATCTCTCTTTTCATCAGTTTTTTTTCGAGACCAAGCAAACGCTTCTGACACCTTCAATTCATCCAAATTGATTTGAAGGTCAAACCATCACGAGAACATTGTTCGGTTGCATCACATATTTGTATTTGTTATCGGATTAATTAGGCGATTAAGCTAAACAAGCTGTGCTAAACGAGTTCTTTAGACATCCCAGCTTCATCCAATTGTTTCATAGATTTAAGCTGAACATGTGTTCCAATCTTTCATATTTCAGATCTTTGAAAGGACATTAAACACCAGCTATCTTTTTCACAGAATTTTTACCCAAAAAGCGGAAGGATGCCGTCAGGCAGTCGAGACGCTTCTTCTCCGGTTTCCTAGGTCTAAATGGGATTTGGAAGCTATTGAACGTGGAGCGAACGAAGGCTCGTCAGTAGTTCATTAGACGTCGTCTGACAATAATTCCATTGGCTTCACTCGTACGTCGTCAACCAGCTGATGGTTTTAAATAAAAAGATGAGAGAAGATGGAGCAGCATGAGAAGGGTGAAGTCAAAAGCAAATTAAGAATTTTTTTTTTGTTCGCATTCATAAGTACTACTATGACTGTCTCGATTGTCTGCTCATAAATGTGGATGGCTTGAAAGCGCTTCGGATGGAAAAGCTTCGATCATAAATTTGAAGAAATGATGGGAAGCTATGATTAAAATGAAATTTCGATCGTCAGCGGCATTTCCCTTGCCATCTAATAAGCCATAAAGGGATATATAACAAGAGGTCAAGCTTAAAAATAAGCAAACGAACAGTCTCTCAAGTCATTTGTCATTATTTGGTGGTTTTCTTTTTGTTTTGCCAGATGGGCTGAGTCTTGAATACTCAAAAATTTCGAAAGAAAAACTAAAAAGAGGGTCAGATGCGAAAAGATATGCCCCAGAAAGAAGAAGAAGTATTGTGGAAGAACGTTTGGAAGCCAATGATGCTATAGTAGCATGAAAAGACAGAAATTAGCATAAGGAGATGGAGAAGTGGAAACTGAAGAAGCCGAAAAAGGAAGAAGAAGATGACGATGGCAAGTCAGAAGAAAACATGATTCACAACATTCCACTAGCTGTCCGATCGGAAATAGTCCCGAGGGTACAACAAGAACTTTCTTCTTCATATCTCATCCCTCTCTTCTCTTCATCTTTTTACGCCTCATATGCCGTATATGGATATATACTCATTTTATTTTAATCTAAGCTTTATCTCATGAACCAGCATCTTCTTTTCAAATCGACGAGAAAACTATAGTAATGGAAAAGGTGAAAATAAACAACAAAACAAGCTGATTGTATGTAACGAACTGCTGTGTGTTCCAATCGTTTTGTTGAAAAGTAAATTGAATGTTCTGAGAAAGAGAGAAAAAAGGTTTACTTCTCCTTCTACTGCTTCATTCATTTTTTTTTTGCTTCAGCAAAATGCTTAAATTTAAAAATAAATACAGCTTTTCGTAATCTAATTGGAACAGCGAGTCGTCTCATGGACAGGTTCATAGACGTAAGGAGGCGAAAGTAACATGAGAAACGGTATTAGCTCAGATTGCTTGGAAAGAAGATCAAATCTTTGATTTCTCTCTTTTGGGTTCTCTAAGACCTCATTATGGCACGTATTATCTCTAACTTTCAGTCATTTAATGAAGCTACTGACCTGGTACTCTCACAATGCTCATCGCATGTCTTTCGAGCAGCCACACATGGACAAGTATCGGCACTACATCTGAAGAAAGAAGAATGTTTTTAAATTCATAAAAGAAAGAGGAAGACGAAGAAGAGGATGAAAATGTATTTCACTCACCTACTCTGACTGACTGCACATTCGCAGCAATAGTTTGTGGCCCTGCTCATTTCACTGGCCATTTTGGCTCTGAAAGAATAGAAGTCAGATTTATCAGGCAGGGGGCGCTATCGATGAAGCAAGAAAAAAAAAGTGGCAAAAAAGATTAAAAGATAAAGAAGAGAGAGAGATATACAGGATAAAGTTTTAAAAGTTATTTTTACAGTCAACAAAGAGTATGTAGGCAACAAACTTGAATGAAGAAAAGAAAGGCGAAACGAATGAAAAAGAAGGAAATGTAAAGTGAGTATACGAACACACACAGGAGCCAAAAGAAAAAGTTTCAAATGCGTTGAAAGGCAAATAAAAAGACTTTCAAGAAAATTTGAATGAAGAAAAAGCTGGAGAGTGTATGTGAGAAAAAAAAACAGAAAAAAAAAAGGATTAATAAAATATTATTTATATTTGGCATTGAAAGTCAAATTGCAAGCAACGACAGACTTTTCAATTACAACTTACAGCGATTTGCAACTTGAGCATTTAAAAATAAGATATGGAATCATAAAGCTTTATATATTATAAAATGAAACAAAAATATTCAAAAACCGTTAGAGCCATGTGCTGCTGCAGCTTGACGCATGTGTGGCCTTCGAGGCCCGTCCGTTCGATTAGTTGAAAGGGCAGAGACCCACACACTGGCTAGTCCATGCCCAGCATAGCTTGCAAGCCAACCAGCCAGTCATCTAAGCCAAAAGCAGCTCCAGCCCGCCTCCTTCTGCTCCAAGTCCTTCTCGCTTTGCGCTCCAGCTCCTCCTTCCACCTCTTTCTTCATGTTCCTTTCTTTTATCGAAACAAACAAAATTACTATTTGTTTGTCTCTTCGCTCTCATCCTTCATTATGAATTCTTATATCTCTAGCTAGCTGTCGAGGTGTCTGCTCTCTCCTACTTCTCCTATACGTAATAAATATCCCTCACTGGTCTCCCATCTTCTTCAAATGACGCGGCCTATTGTTGAGCTTCACGCAAAGCTTCATCTCTTTCAATCTCTCAACATGTGCCTTTATCTCAGAATATTTCAATACATCTCTCTTTCTCTTTTCTCTCTCTTTAACTTCCTCTTCTCTCTTCACTTATAAATACTTTGTATAATTCTCTGAAATTTGCATGATTTGCCGCCCTCTTATTCGAGCATCCGGTCAGTCTATCGGCTATTTAAGTTATTCTCACGTCCAGTAACCAGCTGACCAAAGGCTGGTAGTCGATATGAAGCCTCGACCTCTAGAAGCGAATATTCTGTTGTCAGATACTCTCTCTTTCATTTGCTGTGTATCTCTCTCTCTATCTCTCTCTCTTCCTCTGTCACTAGCTTTTGTTTTTCTTTCTTTCTCTCTATATCTCTCTCTTCAACAAGCTATTCTGAACATCGTTAAACGAATCCGAAGAAGTAAGACTATCCGCAGGTCATTTTGCCATGAAAACTCATCATGGCCACAAGAATAAACAGAAGCAAAGAGATTAAATATGAAATTGGAAGACAATCATAGTGAAATAAAGTAAATTCGAATAACAGCGTCAGAATGCCATGTCAAAAGTTGTTTCTTCGTGAAAAATTCTTTAAAACGTCTGCTTATGCATTGCCATGACAACCGTTCTGTACTGATAATCAATTTGATTTCTCTTATACGCATTTTAAAATATTTTAAAACTTGTCATAAACCATGTTGTCTGAACAAAAGCGGAACCGAAAAGCTCAACAAGCATACACGAAACAGAAAATTGTTTTCTTAAAGACCAGAGGTCGCACTGACAACTTGAAATAATTAAAACTAATGAAGTTCTGAACCATAATTCGTTTGTCAGGAGTTTTTCCGAGAAAAAAAACTTTTTTCTTCTTCCTTTTAGCTCCTCATCAGCCCTCCCAGTTTACAAAGAGCTCACCGATGTGTTGTTTCTCTTAAAAAGAAAAAAAAAGGAGGAAAAAAAATATTGAAAAAATAAATATTTACGTGAACGATTCACGTGAAATTCCACGTAGATCTCATTTGTTACGTGAAAAATGAAAGATCCCCCTCCACAGTCATTTTTGTTTGTCAGACAGGCTAGCAAGAGGTTGTTGTTTGTTTTTAATTGTCTCCGAAAAAAGAGAAAAAAAGGAAAATCATTAATTAAAAAGGAAACTGTGTGTGTGTTGTACAGCTAGCAATTCTGGATCTTTTTTACTTTTCATCCAACTTATGCATTTTGGAAACAAATTAAGCTGATCAAGAAGCGGAATGTTGACAAAATAAGCGAAATGAAGATGTCCATCATAGCTACTTGTCTTGATCTCTCCTATGCCTACTAGCAATTACTCAGCTTGTCATAGAAGTCGAATAAGGATATTGAACTTGTTTGAAAGCTGTTTAAAACCTGTTTTTATGGTTTATCAGCCAATAAACGAATCAGTTCAATATATATAAGTAAGCTTTCACAAGGACATTATCGAGAAAAAGCATATTACAAGCATGATCAACACTTTCCTTCTTCTTTTACTTCCGATTGTTGTCTCATCATCACCTACATTCTGCCATTGTCCTAGTGGTTCATATGGAAGTAAGCTTTCTCCTTTTTCATTCACTCCAACTAAAAAAAAATTTTCTGCTTTTGCTCAAGCCCATAAGCCTAAAACGGAAATCTGATAAGCCACTACATTTTTTTCCTGTTTTAGTGACTTGCCCCAATCCAATACAGCTGAACTGCCCTCCAGCACCACAATGTCCACCTGCTCCTCCATGCAACCCCTTCCCAACTCTTCCTCCATTCGATCATAACAATGCCATTCAGGTGATATTACCTGAAAACAAAAAAAAATTTGTGTTCTTCGCAGGGAATCGCTCAATTTACTTTCCCAACCTTGGCTCCAATTGGACAAGGCTTAGGACAAGCTACACCAGCCCCAGTAACTCCACTTCCTTTACCTGTTGCACCACCATCAAACGGACAAGAAAGTCTTCTTCTCATTGGCAGCCCAGCTGCTTCTCAGGTTTAGTTATTCATTTTTGTTGTTAAATATTCATAATTCCAGGTTCCTCCACCTCCACCTCCACCACCAGTTCCAGCTGCTCCTCTGCCAACTTATCCACAACAACCATATCAGACTCAGCCAGTACAAGGTAGAAAGTATATTTTTAAACAATCAAAGTGGGTTTCTGGTTTCAGTAAGTGTACAAGCTTCCCCACAATACGTTGAGGCACCTGTTGATGCCACCACTAAAGCTACAACCTTGGCAGGAGAACTGTATATAATACAAAATTTTGTCCGTTAAGCACATAAATACAATTCAGATACGTAGAAGCTGAATCCCCAGAAGAACCTACCCTACAAAATACTGGAACTGTGTTTGAAAATGAACCAAATAGTATGTTTTGAATCTCGGTTTCACCTATTAAAATTCGAATCTCAGACGGATTCCGTCAACCAGTCAAGAGAGATTCAGATGGAGATTCAACCTTATTAACCGACAAATGCAACGACAAACGATTGAAGAAAATAATTGAAGAGGTTAAACTTCTGTTCATTTACTTCCTGTTTAAAACCCAATTTTGTATTACAGAACTGTGACAGCAACCCTTCAAGTTCTAAGAGAAAAATCCAGAAAGCAGCAACTGAAGAAATTGGTGGCTTGTTTGATGTCATCTGTTCATCACATGATTTCTCATATTTGGCTAATACCCAGGTAATGGATAAGCTATATCTCATTATAATTCTAATTCATTAACCTATTAAGCTATTCTGTGAAGCTGGTAATGAAGATGTGACTTGCTTCGCATTCCTCCATTCAATCATTCAATAGAATAATCTCTTTATGAACCGATTGTTTGAAAGTCAAACAGGGCAATACCAATCAGTGCAATATTATGATTATAACTCTCATTTCTCATTTATATAATTAATAAATATTTTATAAAAACTCAATCATTGTCATATAACAATCATCATCACATCACATAAGAAAACCCATTAAAGACACATTTTTTTCCATTTTTGGTCAACAAACATAAACTAATTTGATTTTCAATCAGTTGTTGTACAACTACGGATGAGCTCTTTGACCGTCAAATTGCGTTTAGCGACATTCTGTCGTTCAGACAACACATTCTTATCAATTGTTATATCTGTTTGATCAAGAATTGTTGAACAATCTTCTAATAGCCTCTCTCGGTTTGTGCACGATAGATATATCTGAAAGTATCCCTTATAAGACTACTTTTCCTACTTTTTCTTCTTCATAAGTAAGGTATGCTGAATGAGGAACAAACCTGAACAACATTGTCGTCGATGCTATCGCTATCACTCATCTCTTGTCCTTCGGAAGCCCTCCATGCTACTCTCATCTCTTGACAACTTCTTCAAATAATCATCGTTTATAACTTTATTCCAATTAAACATTACCGTTTATGGATAGTTGTCTGATGAATTAATATACCTTCTGATGACGGAAAATTCAGAATTGCGTTGTATTTCTTCGATTCCGCTAGATCGTTGGCAGGCTGAATATTCATGAATGATTACAATTTATTTATCTTCCCTAATAAGGAGAAAAAAAATTTCCTTTTCTAGGAAACTCACTTCTTGATCATATAAATTTTCGATAGCTAGACATTCCCAGAAGAAAAATGGCTTCATAATAGATAGAAGTTGTCTGAAGGTATCCCATTCTGGCTCTAATGAAAATCCAAGGAAGAAAATGTCATTGTGGTTCTAAATGAAGGAATATCATTTATAAATCTATTTGAAACAAAACCTTATAAAATCCTTTAATGAATAGAATTCCTGAATAGCCTCGAGGAAAAACACTTCGCATAACCTTTAGAACAAGAGATGATTACAAGAAAACAGAAGCTTCATCTACCTGAACAGCAAATGATTCCAATCCCGGCAGTATATCACGAGTCTGTTGAACAGAAAAAAATTCAAAACCAAAAGGCTTTTGAGATTGAATAGATTCAATAACCAATCGATGACTTTCTAAACTTGAAATGCAACCTGAAATATACATATATGAAATCATTTTTAATCATTTTTCTCTCTCTTCCTTATACCTATTATTCCATTTTTGGAAGTACACAGAAGACTGAACTCTCGACCATCATCAATGTATTCTGTAACCAAGTATTCTTCAAATCGATGCGCTTTCGATTGACGCTGAAAATTAAAAAATGCAAAGAATTGCGACGATTTTTTTTTTTATATTCGTACTCGAAACCACGACTTGAATTCCAATTCATTTCTAATAATTCCTATGGAATTAGCTGTATGAGGCTTGATAGGCTCAACTATAGCTGGAAATCCTCCAATCTGAATGATGAAAAATGTGGGAGTGATATATATGAAAATGAAATCTTACTTGAGCTTTAACAGCTTCCATCCATTGCTCTGGCTGAGGTGTTCCGGATAACGAGCACTGTCTATAAAAAGATTCATATACATCATCCAGCTGCATGTAAGTATTAAAAAAGAGAGATTGTGCATATGTGAGAGAGAAAGATAAATGGATTAGCATTTTACCTTAATGTAGCCAATCCGTTTCGTCTTGGATTGGAAATTGCGTCACGAACGCTGAATAAAATATCTAATTGATCCGGCAAAAATCCCTGTAAACTAGCATGAATTGCCTCTCATTAAGCTCAAATCAACCTCAATATTAAGTTCTTTACGTAATTGGGCAATAGGTCTTTGCAATTTTCTTTCAAACACAACTAAACGTAGCTGACTTGATGTATAGATGGAGCAAAGTTCTCGAACCTTAAATACTATTTTAAGTGATTTTTTAAAATATTATCTAAAATATTGCCTTCTCAAGCAGCTGACTGTTATTCAAATCAGCCATTGGAGGCTCCACTTGATAGTAAACATCAACACTGAACAAGTATTGTAGTTAGATGTTCTGCTATTGTTCTTTCGTTATTACTTTGATTCATCCTGTAGAATGCGTGGAGGTGCAACGACAAACAGACGAACATGTGAAGGCTTCCTGAGTTCTCGTAAACCTAATTTATACTTCCAAAGAACGAGGATTATTGTGTAATTTTGCATTCTTAAACCTAAATAATCTTTAAACGGAACTGATTTGATGGAAACAACACAGAACAAGAAGATGAAGAAGACTGAAGACACAAGACACAAGATGGCAAATGATGAAGTTAAAAAGTGAAAATGAGAATGTACAGAAGAAGAACTTCATGAACAAATGAAATATCTGATTTAGCTTATCTATCTTTCTATTGGGTTGTTCAATTGCTGGCAAGGCTCCTCCTATTTTCAAATGTTATACTGAGTAGCGTGAAGAAAGAAGAAGAAAAAAAAAAGATTGAAAATAGAGATCCATGACGTCTGATTATAGTTGAAAAGTAACCAGTGAAGAACAGAAAGCAGGAAAAAAAAGAAGAAAAGGAAAGAGAGTCAGTCAATGGAAAAGAGAATTATCCTTAAGAATGGACGAGAAGCTTGTTACATCCTTTCGGTCTCTTGCCTTCAGGGTATGAGCCTCGTAACCAATGGCTTCTTGTCCTCATTGCCAGCTTTGCATGAGAAGCTGATGGGAAAGCCAAGCCGGGAAATGCATGAAGGAGAGGAGGGAACGATTGAGTGAAAGAAAACATTGAGAGAGAAAGAGAGAAAGCGATGAAGAGGTGAGGGAAATAAAACATAAAAGAGAGAAGAGACAAAGCATAAATATAGTTAAAAGTCGAGAGGCAATTCATTAAATTCTCATTCAATTCAACTACATTCTCTCTATATTAAGCTTCATCTTTTAGCATTATTGGCCTCGTTATAGACTGTTTTCACCTTTTCAGACAAATTTCAATATTGTTTTTGCCAATCGGCCAAATGAGAGAATTGTTTAACGAATACAATGATCAGTGTAAGTACGTGTTAATCACAAAAAAAAAGCTCAGCAGCATGCTCTGCTCTGCTCTCTCTCTCACTCTGATAGTTTATCAACTAAACCAATGATTTCATGTCTTCAGACATAATCCATGCATTAGATATTAAGATAAGAATCTTAGAATGAAACAGATTCTCAAATCATGACAGATTTCCTTAAGAAAGAAAAAAAAAGAAAAAAGAAGAAGAAAAAGGAAGAGAAGAAGAAGCGAAGAACTTTTTTTTTTTTTCTCACATACACACACACACGCATACACACACAGATCCACACATAGACATACACATACACATATAACAGCAAATAGAAAACAATGTGGAAGCTTTTCTCTCAACAACAACTAATCATCTATTATACTTCATTTGCATAAACGTTTCGTTTCTCTCGCTCTTCTTTTTCTCTTTTTATTTCTCATTTATGCCCTTGAACGTCAGTGGTGGTGATGGTGATGGTGATGGTCGTGCTGGTGCATCCTACTTCTCTTCTCTTATAAACATTTGAAAAGAAAGACAAATTTTCAACACATTTCTTACTTTATTTCATATTTAGAGCTTAAAATATGAAAAAATTGGAATAACAAACGTCTCCCCTCCTTTCCTTCGCACCCTCTCTCTCTCTCCCTCTACTCCCTCTTTCCCTCCCTCTCTTACTCTCTCTTTTTGGAAATGTAGTTAAAATTAAAGGAAAGAAGCAAAGAGAAAACTATTGCTGAAGACAAATATCGCTGGCGATTGTCATAAGAAGCTTCAGTGCCATCAAGCAAGTCAAATCGGCTCAAACTTGAAAAAAATCCGCCAAAAACGCGGATGAGACTGGCTGTCAGATAGAAAGATCTCTTTTTGGTCTTTTTATTTTGTGTTCAAATATAGTATTTGGTGAAGCTGTCAAGGTGCATAGGGATGCTCAATCGTTGCAAGATATGATTCTAATGAAGTGAAAAGAAGAAGAGTATTCAGCTTACTCGCCCGTCTCATATCTATTCTGAAACATTGAGAGAGAGAGAGAGAGAGAGAGATGAATGCGGAGGAGCATGCACAGACACACACACACACACACACACACGCAAAAAAGAAAGTATTTTTCTTTTTTATTCTTCTTTCCAAGGGAATACGTTTGTAAGAGAGGAGCAAGAGCAATGAGGGCACTAGATACAGAGAGAAGAGTGAGAGTATGGGAGGTGATGGGTCTCCCCACTGAAAGTGAGAAAAAAAAATATTTTTTTTATAGTTTTGTATGTCCGTGTGTGAATGTATTCTTGTAAACATTGCTTTTTTCTTCTTATTTCTAATTAAACAGATCTTTATGAGAGAGATAATATGAAATATGAATATACATATGTGTGGCAAATGTCGAAGGAAATGAAGAAGTTGTTGCAAAACGTCATGAGGAAGCTGAATAGAGTATTAGTCTTCCATTTATAAGTTTGTTAGATTGCAAAACAACAACAACAATATGATTAAAACGGAAAGAAGATGAGAAAAAGAAACTTTAAAGGAAACTTTCATTTAATCCAATTAGCAAATTTCATGTTTAGCTCCTATCCACGTGAGCAACATACAAGCATAGCGAGAGAGAAAGAGCGAATGAGAGCATCGACTCAAACACAAAATCATTTTAAACTCTTGAATGCTTAATGAGCGGTTGGTGACGAGAACTGTTTTAAAGCATTTTCATTCCATTTGAGGATGTTTTTTTTATCCAGGCAATCCAAATAAGCTTTTATTCAGCCATAAATCTTAACAATCGTTTGGAAATTCATTTTAAAACTGAAAATTTGACATAAAACGTAAAGAAGTAGTTGTTATAACCTTGTTCGTATCGTATTCAGCCATTCACATCATTCAAATGAAGAACAATTGAAAATTAAAATTTTAAATTTTGATTTTTTTGATTCTTAATTTCAGTCAAATATTTCTTTTTTTCTGATGTTAAATATTCTTTCAATTTTGTCATATTATAGGTTTTTGGAAGTAAATCTTCTAAAAATTCCACCGTCGACATAGAGTGCTCAGAAAAATCCAATTCTTCTTGTGATTGAGGTGGACGAGTCATGATTGGATGACAAAGCATCAAAAATAGAAGAAAAGAAAGCTTATAGCAACAGCCTAAAGAATTAAAAATTAAAATGAAATGAAATGCATTCGGCAGTTCCGCATTTTAGGGAACAACGCGACGTTTTTTCACACGTTGTTGCTTTGCTTTGCTCTCCCTCGCCATCAAAATGAGAATAGACAGATGAATGGAGAAGGAGATGAGAACAATTCAAATCAAAATAATCAAAAATAATCAAAAATTTAAATATAATTATAAAGAGGAATTGTAAAACGAAAACATACCGGTCATGTGTTAGAATTGAATGAAATCGAAAAGTCAAACCCGTTTTAGTAAGAAAATAATAGAAGACGATGAGAAGGAAGACCAAAAAGCAATTGGTAGTATCTTGAACTCTCTCTTACCATCTTTCTTTCTTCCTCTCTCTCTCTCTCTTTCTTCCTTTATTTTATTGTCGATTCCCTCTTTCTTTATATCTTTCTCTCTCTCTATCCATTCCTTACTGTCTCTCTCACACACACATTTCCAACCGTTTACTTATTTTATTAAGTTTTTTTAACATAAAAAACACACACAGGGAGAACAGTGTGAACGTTTTGACTATGTTACTTGACGATTTGCAATCCTGTTATGGTTGAAAACTTCTTTTTTTATCTCCATTTCGAGTTTTTCTTTTGTTTTTTTTTCATTCGCATGTTGAAAATAGAAATCTGAAATGAAATTATGTGGAAAACGGTCTCTTGTGTAGCAAGGATCAGAACGACTTGTGCTTGCGTGCGTGTGCGTGTGCAAGAGGAGGAAAAACTATAATCTATCCCGTTTTGTTGAAAAAAAAAGGAATAATCTTGTAGATTTTTGTATCATTGAAAGCAGATATACATCTATAAGGATTTACTATTATTATCTTTCTTTCATTTTCTATTAAACATCATCCACCTTCATGAATACACTTTAGCGAATTGAAAAAGAATAACATTCATGTTTAGATCTTTCATTCATCTAGATATCTATATCTTTCTATATACATAATACTTGTTTCAACTGATATTAATATGAGAATGACATGTGGAACATGATGGCTTCTTGTTATAAATTGATAGAGTTAACTATTATCACATGATAATCGAGAACTCCTCTCATGCTCTCCATGAAGTCAGCTGCATTTGCCACTGTAAATCCAATCAAATCTTTCGATCCATAATGTATGACAACGTTACATTTTTTGGTATCAGATATCAAACGATAACAACTGTAAGTATTGTATATGAGAAGGCGAAGATGGTTATAGCTTACCGTTTAACATCCAAAGCCCAATAGATTCCGTTTTGGCTTTTGCCCCAGGTCTTCTTGTACGAACACTTTCCCAAGTCTTCCTCCTGAATAAGAAAACAAAGAGCTTCGTTAGAATACAATATATTTTTTACCTCAAACCATAATATAGTAATAGCTTCAACTGATAATCGGCGACACTTTTTGTTTGGAAAATAATAATTTTTGACTGTTAAAACAGAATCAGTCAAGCACACGAAATCATCTTCATATAGACCAGCCATTGTGTGAATATAGGGATGAACTGATAAATGAGCAGCGGCAGAAACAAATGATTCAAAGAAATCTTATATTTTAGCTGCCGCACACCGTTTTTATATTCTGAGTGGATTATGAGCTCCGCCTACAAGAGATTAGATACATCCTTTTCCGGATAAAAATGAGGGAGAAAAACTTGGGAGAAGGTTCTTAATTTGCTTATCACTATATATGTCAGCTGTAACATGAGGCGATTGTTATTTTTACGTAAGCAAAATCGAAAAAGAGGTGGAGAAACGGATATTCTACGTAGTAAAGGTTTATTCTGAGCTTATTTTCAAGAGAATCAAAGATGTTTTATCCAGCTTATGGATGTAACTTTCGGAAATAGTAAAACTTGATTCGACTCAATTCCAGGAAATCAACCGCTCTACGAGATGGAACGCATATAAATAAATTTAGTCTGAGCTGAACACGTCACGTGGAATTGACGTGATTCAAGATGATAAGCTAATTCCAGACATCCTGTCACACGTATGTCATAACTAAGGAGCGGCTTTAATGGAAATATTCAAGGCATAGGAAATAAAAATGATTTGGTGAATTCCTTGAATATGTAGCCGCGACAACGTCGTATTGAACTAAAATTTAACTTTCCATTGCGAACATAATTTGTTGGAGGGTTTCTGTTTCTGTTTTTAAATTCTTCTTTCGTGATCTTTGGTGATTTTCTATTTCTCACATAATATAGATGGATAGTGCGTTTGGTTGTGTCCTCTAATGTACCTGACAACTCTTGGGATCGAAGCCTACCTCTCCTTGCGTTCAAGCTTCTTCTACTTTGGAAATAATATCTTCAAATCAGTTTCTATATACTGACGCAAATCTCTTGTCAAACAAACAGACGAGGAAGATGATAACAATCCATATATAGCAAAATATGAAATGGCATTTATACTGCAAGATTACCATTGCTAAACCCTAATATGACGTGCATCTTCATGAAACAATACGTTTTACAATAAAAATGACGAGATATGACTATTAACTTTCGTTCGCATGTTTTCATATAATTCTCTGAATATTCCTCCGTTGCAATAACGGATGTGAAGATCTCGTGGAAACTTCAACAATAGATATCTCAGGAAGGGTACGGAGAAAGAATGGAACTTCTGCTAAGATATTGGGCAACTACGCTTATTTTACATTAATATCTCACCAACCTGATACTCTTATTCATGTAGCTCCGTGTTCTACTTAGTGTTTTGTGAACAGTTCACTGATAAAGAACAAGCTCTCGACCATGAGAGCTCGGGAGAGCTTTCAAAAATGGAGTCATCTGGAGATTCATGATTTTTTTCCCAAATTCAAAAATTGAGAAAGTTGTACGGTTGCAGGGCTCTAAAGAATTCCAAGAAAAATGTTTTTTTGAGGAACCTCTGCCAAGATTTATGGAAGATCCTGTTTGGTCATAAACAGGAGGAAACAGGAACTTCCTACTCTCGACAAGGTTCAGATGATGTTCTACTCCGTTCAATCTGCATATTCTCTCTTCAGCTTTTGCGGATATATGGCTGATGAAGAGGATAGTGGATATGGATATGTATGCGCTATGCGTCAGGACGGTTATGGAATCTTCTACAGAATTGCCAGCAACAGGTAGTTGGTGTATACTCATGATGGTC